GGCTGCACAACGATCTAGGATATTTCTCCCCAATCTCCCCCCCTCTCTCCTTCACTGGGGGTAACATTTGCATTGCCTTCCAGCAGCTCTGGGAGCTTGCATAGTGTTACGCCCAGACTTCGTGATCCCCAGAGACCACCAGGGAGCCGAATCCGATGCAATTGCAGAAAGCTTGAATTCCATGGAGTTAGCCTCGCCTCCCCCCCCCCCCCCCCACCCTGCCATCTCACACAGGTACTGCCCACATAAAATCCTTGTATGTATTATCCCATCTTGGCATCTGCTGCTTCAAGGACTTGGACTAACGCCGTAACAAAGAACCATAAAACCTCCATGGCACACAACAATAACGTTTTATTGTTCACATTTCTGAGCGGGGATTTGGGGACGTGACTAGACAGCTCTGTTTATCTTCGCTGGGCTTGCTCCCATGTCTGAGGCTGACCGGCTGAGAGCCGATCTAGGATGACCCCTGCTATGATGACTGAGGACTCAGCAGTCCTGCCTGTCTCTCATCCGCCAGCAGGTTAGCCCGGGCAAGTTGAGGGCAATGGCACAGGCACAGGATAAAAGCCCACTCAGTGGATAAGCCTATGTAACACCTCAGCTTGCCTAAGGTCAGCTCTATCCACTGGCTAAAGATCATGTGACTGAGCCCAGAATGAGTTGGAGGGCTCTGAAATGTAACATGGCAAAAGTCAGGATGCAAGAGAAGCAGGGGGACTATTTTCACAATCAGTCACAGTGTCGGTATGTTTTCTTCGTGAAGCCCCACACTTTCTCTAATCATAACAGTGTAAAGTCACTCACTAATAGAGAGAAATAACTTTATACTTTAAGGAACTTGAAAAAGAACAGCAAACAGCCCAAAGTCAGTAGAAGGAAAAGAATAAAGATTAGAGCAGAAATAAATGAAATGGAGTTTAATATATAAGAGGTCCATGGAATCAAGAGCTGGTTCTTTAAAAAGTTAAATGAGATTGACAAACCTTTAACCAAGACTCATCAAGAAACAAAGAGAGCCCTAATCAGTTTGGCTCAGTGGATAGAACATTGGCCTGGGGACTGAAGGGTTTGATTCCGGTCAAGGGCACATGCCCAGATTGAGGGCTCAATTCCCAGTAGGGAGAGTGCAGGAGGCAGCCGATCAATGATTCTCTCTTATCATTGATGTTTCTATCTCTCTCTCCTTCTCTCTTCCTCTTTGAAATATATATATATGGAACTAAGAGAGAGGACTCAAAATCAGAAATGAAAGAAAAGTAACAACTGATACCATAGAAATACAATGATTACAAGGAAGTATTATGAATAACTATATGCCAACAAATTGAACAATCTGGAAGAAACGGATAAATTCCTCTTAACATACAATCTTCCAAAACTGGATCAAGAAGAATCAGAGAATCTGGACAGAGGGATTATAACTAATGAAATTGAAGCATTAATAAAATAAAATTTAAAAACTTCCAACAAACAAAAGTCCTGGACCGGTTGGCTTCACAGATGAATTTTACCAAACATTCAAAGAAGAATGAACACCTATCTTCCTCAAACTGTGGCAAAGTCGCAAACAAGTCCCAGCTTGGAGGGCATAGTCCTCAATAATTTTTCGTACTAAATACCAGGAAGCAGGTGTAATTATGAAAAGACAAAAGAAATGTAATAGAAGACAGAAAGGATGGGAATTTTAAATAGAAAGGAGAGAAGAAGGCAGAAAGTGAAATCCTGTACCGAGTGTTGGGGAGGCTAAGGGCAGACACCTGTTTCTCCGTTTGCCTCGCGTGTAGGTGGAGCTGCTACGGGGCAGTCTGGCCCTGAAGGAGCCCAGAGGCCAGCTCCTCCTTAAGGAGAGGTTTTCCTCATTCAATAACATACATTTAGCACGGCCCAAGGCACCTTCAAACACTACACTGCTCTCCCACTCAGCACCACACTTAAGTCCAATGCAAGTGCCAATAAGGCACAGAGTGCCCCCTCTCAGCTGAGGGTTAACTATACCACAGCTCTGGAGCGCTCCGAACAGCACACAAAGCTGGGCAGCAAGCAGAGGTGGAGGGAGGGGGATTAGGAAAAGCTTTGAGAGAGAAGTGGTGTCAAAACTGGGACAGGATACAGAGGCAAGAAAATGTGGAAGCAGCCCTAGCCAGTTTGGCTCAGTGGCTAGAGCATCGGTCTGCAGACTGAAGAGTCCCAGGTTTGATTTCAGTCAAGGTCACACGCCTGGGTTGCAGCTCCATCTCCAGTAGAGGGTGGTGCAGGAGGCAGCCGATCAATGATTCTCTCATCCTTGACATTTGTATCTCTCTCTCCCTCTCCATTCCTCTCTGAAATCAATAAAAATATATTTAAAAAAATAAAATGTGGAAGCAGCACACAGTCTCATTTCCCCCTATTTATCTGTTTGTTTGTTTGTTTGTTTGTTATTACGCAGTCTCATTTTCACTGCAGACATAGAGGGCTCTGGGCTGGATGGAGAGTGAGCTGAGACCAGATCATGGCGGGTCTTGAACGCCAGGATGAAAAGCATATTCGTAATTCAGCAGGAGCCACTGGAAGCTTTTGAACAAGACGTGACGTGACAGAAGCCTTGATTTTTAACTGGATATATGCCTGTACAAAATAAAGGTGAAATTTCCTAACGTCTCTTGCAGCAAAGTGCGGTCACGTGCCTAAATTCTGATGAATGAGATCTAAATGAAATAGGACTGTATATCCAACTTTTAGGAAGTTTTCTTAAGGGATCAGAGAATTGCTCTCCTCCTTACCCCCCAGTGGATAGAAGCTGAAACTAATCCTAACATGTAACTTACTTATTGAAAAGATTGGCCCCAAGGCAAGGCAAAATATATGATGGTTGGAACAAGAGGAACAATGGAGGCGGGAAGACTAATAAGTAAACAATTCCAGAGTCAAGATAAGCAAGTGAGGAATTAAAAACCGAGCCAAGTATATTAGCAATAGAAATGGGTGGGAGTGGTGGATGTGATATTATGAAAACAGTGTCTTTGTGAATTGGTAATTGATGAGAAGAGGCACCAGAGAAGTTAGAATCAAAGGTCTCTGTGAGATTTCAAAGGGATTTCATTGTTGACTGGCGGTCAACATTGTGGGTAACAGGACTGGGGAGTCAGAAAGAGGAATTGGCTGGAGGAAGGCACAGACACAGGGGGGTCAGAAGGAGGAGAAGGCCCAAGGGAAGCAGCTGTGAGTCAGTTTTTGACATGCTGAGTTGGAATGCCTTCAGGATGTCCAGGTAGAGATGGAAAGCAGGCAATTGGGAATTCATTTCTGGAGCATGACTGGAGAGTCCTCCTGTAAGAATGATAGTCAAAACAAAGGAAGTTGCTGGTTGGCAAAATAGAGGGTGTCTCTAGAATTCCCTCTTCTTCTGTGCACAAAGAGAAGTAATTTGTGTAGTGAAAAATCAGATGAAAATATGTCCAGCTCTTCACTCGACAGGTACCCCTCTCCCTCTCTCAAAAATAACAACAAACAAACACCACCACAGCAACAACAACAACAAAAAACCTACAAGCTCCAGCTGGCTTCAAATAATGAAAATCCTCACTGCCTCAATATTTAAATAGCTCCTTCAAGTTCCTTCGGAAGGCATTTTGTTTGATTTGCACAAATATCTGTCACGACATGTTTTAAGATGACTCTACTTTTTAGCAATAGGTCTATAGCAAATTGCCTTTCCTCTTTAATTCATGCAAGACTTCCCTTTCACAAAAGTCTTAAAAGAACAATTCTTTTCAAACGCAGAATTGAGAACATATAAAAATCCAATAAATGTGAGAAGTAAAAACCACGACATAGAACTTTCTCCTGTATCTGCTGTGACCAGAGCAAATGGCAAATAAAGAGGAAACGAATCGAATGTGAACAGTAAGACACCATCTTCCAAGGCTGGCTACACAGCCATCGGCACCGTTTTTTCACGGGGCGGCTTGGGGGTGGAGGGAGTTGAAATCCAGTGGCTTGTGTGAGCTGGAAGGAGTGTTGTGGGAGCTCTGTGTTTTTTTTGTTTGTTTGTTTGTTTGGTTGGTTTTTTCCTGGAAGAAATTTTGCTTCTTTACCGCAGACAGCTGCAGGCGAACCCAACGCACGCTCCTCGGAGAGAAGAGGCCGGGCGCTGGACTGGATAGCACAGTGGATCGGGTTCCACTTCGGAGTGTCAGAGCCCTCAATGAACGTGTGGGGAAGGCTTTTCTCACACCCGCCCATCCATCCATTTTTTTAAAAAAAATATTTTATTGATTTTTTACAGAGAGTAAGAGTTAGAACATGGATGAGAAACATCCATCACTGCCTCTTGCACACCCCCCACTGGGGATGTGCCCGCAACCAAGGTACATGCCCTTGACCAAAATCGAACCCGGGACCTTTCAGTCCGCAGGCTGACGCTCTATCCACTGAGCCAAACCGGTTTTGGCCCATCCATCTTTTGTCTCCGGGCCAGGGCCTGCGCTGAGCATCCCGGCGTGCCTTACCGTACTTAACCCCACGGGACTCCATGGGAGGAGGCGGTTTTAAGCAGAAGGACGCGGCGGCGGGAAGACCATACCGTGGGGGCCCTCTCAAAAGAGACGGGAGAGTTATCGGATCCACAGCGGGCAGTGCTGGGCGAAAAGCAATAACCGTGGAGGAAAGCCTTCCCCCTCTCCCGATCGGGACAAGGAACGCAGCCCCGTTCCACCTTCTCCCGGCCCTCGGGCTCGGAGCGCCCAGACCTCGGTCCGCCCGAGAGGCCCGGGCAGTGGCAAGGGCCCGCGCCGTCCCTCAGTCCGCGCCTCCCCACGGTAGCCTGGAGCCCGTGCCCGTCCCCGTTAGAGAGGCTGGGGGCGCACGGACTGCCCGGCTCCCTCTGCCCTGGGCAGCGCCCGGGTTCCGGCGCCCCACCCACCGCTGCCCGGGACCCGCTGCGGCTGCGCGCGGGTGCTGATTGGCCAGAGCGCGGCCCCGGAGCGGTGATCCCTCCTTCCCATCGGCGCCCACGTTGCATCATCCTCTGTCCGGAGATCTCTGCGGCCAAGCTGGGAGCTCCAGCCCGCTCCCAGCGCCTCCCCTGGCCTCTCTCTCCACACCTGTGTGTGCGCCCAGCCCGGCGGTCTCCCGAGGGGGTGGTTCCCAGAACCAGACACAGCTAGTGGATTGCGCCAGCTCCGCCTGAGCGAGCCATTCATTGAGAGTTCCGTCTTTTACTAGAGCCCAAGTCCTTCGCTCTTCCCCAGCTCTGAGCTGCAGCAACGTCATGGAGAAGAGCAGTGACACCAACGGCTACCTGGACAGCGCCCCGGCGGGGCCTGGGGCGCCCGGGCCCCCCGCGGGGCGCGCGCGGCGCTGCGCCGGCTTCCTCCGGCGCCAGGCGCTGGTGCTGCTCACCGTGTCCGGGGTGGTGGCGGGCACCGGCCTGGGCGCGGCGCTGCGCGGGCTCGGGCTCAGCCGCACGCAGGTCGCCTACCTGGCCTTCCCCGGGGAGATGCTGCTGCGCATGCTGCGCATGATCATCCTGCCCCTGGTGGTCTGCAGCCTGGTGTCGGGCGCCGCCTCCCTGGACGCCAGCTCCCTGGGGCGCCTGGGCGGCATCGCCATCGCCTACTTCGGCCTCACCACGCTGAGCGCCTCTGCGCTCGCCGTCGCTCTGGCATTCATCATCAAGCCGGGGTCTGACGCGCAGATCCTGAAGTCCAGCGACCTTGGGCTGGAGGATTCGGGCTCCCCTCCGGTCCCCAAAGAGACGGTGGATTCCTTCCTCGACCTGGCCAGGTAAACGACAGATCCTCCCCACACACACCCTCCTCCTTGGAGACGCCGGCTCTTCATGGCACTCCAGTTCATTCATAAACACACACCTTCATATACTCTTTCTAAAGAGTTCATTTTAATTGGTTGCTAATATTTTTATTTTTATATATATTTTATTGATTTTTTTTTTTTACAGAGAGAAAGGTAGAGGAATAGAGAGTTAGAAACATCGATGAGAGAGAATCATCGATCAGCTGCCTCCTGCACACCTCCTACTGGGGACGTGCCCGCTACCAAGTTACATGCCCCTGATCGGAATGGAACCTGGGACCTTACAGTCCACAGGCTCCATCCACTGAGCCAAACCACTTTCAGCAATTGCTAATATTTTTAAATATCAAAGTAACGTCTGGAGCTGCATGCTGACCACCCTTTTCAAATATCTGTCTTAGTACACCAGACAGTCTGCAGGAGTAGGGCCAATTTTTTTTTTTTTTTTTTTTTTTTTTTTTTTTGCAAGAGCCAGTTGTGCCGCTAAGTGTGAGTGCGCAGTAGGGCAGAGGCAGCAGCCTCACCTGCACTTGACTTCTTATGCTCTCGGGCTAAGTTCTAACCACACCTGGATAGCTTCACCCTATTTTCTCCAAGGTCCCCGAAAGCTTCCGGGCGCATTGGCTAGATTTGGCCTGTTGAGCCATCCTGGCCTGTAATCGATGGCCTTCTCTGCTTCAGCCCTTTGGCTGGTGATTTTTTTTTTAAGAGTTGTCCATCCAGGATAACAAGGTGGGCTTAGTGGTGTGGGGCCCGTTGTCCAGACTAGCCCTCCTGGGGCTTGGAACAGAGGGTCCTCCAACCCATAATCAGGCCGGCTGTGGAGTCCTATGAGTTTCAAGGGGCTTTATTTGTGGGAAGAGGTGAGTTCTAAAGGAGAGGGAGAGAAGTGTCTTCACTGAGCTGTGCCTGCTTCCTGTGACTTGTACAAGTTGCCTTTCATCCTTTAAGACGCAGGGTAGTTTCTCTGGTTTACCCAAGCCCGCCGCCTCTCCTGCTTTCTCCATTAGCTCAGAGTTCACAGACGGAAAACTGCAGCCTGGAGGCGCTTACTGACCTGGCCAAGTGCAGCCGGGAGAGGAGCTCAGCTGGCTCCTGCTCCAGGTTTCTGATCGGGAGCCTTGGAGAGGTCTGGTGAGTCTTAAGTCACTGAGGCAAAGCTCCTCATTGCTAAGGCTGTGCAAAAACAGCAGGCCCCGGGCAAAGGGCCTGGGCTTCCTGCTGTTTCCGTTCCTCCCTCTGGAAAATGTGACAGCGGTCTGCCACTGAACAGAAAGAGCGTTCATTTGACAGGACAGCGGTGACAACCAAAATCAAAGTCCAAGGCATGGCATTGAAAAAATAAAAATCTCTGATGAGGTGGACGTGAAAGTTCATACCAAAATGTCTTACCTAAAAGGCAGGTGGAGGTAGCCTGTTAGGATGTGGATGGCATCAGGGCCTTTGCTTAGGGTCAGGCAGCTTGATAGTTGGAGTCTTGAGAAATCCTTAAAGTTTGGGAGGAGTCACTTTGGTGTTGAAAACAGTCTAATGAGGTTGAGAGTGCCTTTGGCTCTTCAGTTTATCTGTCATCTGTCCCAGGAGAGGAAGTGGATATTGGGGTTAAAGTAAGGTGACCAGACGTCTCGCTGTTGGCGGGACAGTCCCGATTTTTAACAATTTGTCCCGCATCTCACGGCGTTTTAAAAAAGTCCAAAAGATTTAAAAGAATCTTTCCAAAAATCGGGACATTTTTTTAAAATGCCACGCAACGCAGGACAAATTGTTAAAAATTAAGTCGTCTGGTCAACGTCAGGTTAGCACATGTGTCAAACACAAGGCCCGCGGGCCAAATCCGTCCCGCCAGGCCTTGCAATGTGGCCCGCACCGCGCTGTCATCACTGCACTCCGCTGCGTTTCCATCACAATGACAGTTTATGACTGTTCAGTAAACCATTCGGCCCGCAATTTAGGCTGGATTTTAGATTTTGGCCCCTTCTCTGATTGAGTTCGACACCCCTAGGTTAAAGGGTTCTTCTTTGCAAGGATCCGTGGTCCAGGGAGGGAGTGTGGGTGCGCAGTTCTGACCTGCTGGGGGTGCCCCCGTAGGAGGCTCAGTAGTATTCTCATCTCTAAGAGAGGGGCAGTGGCCAAAAAACAGGGGGTGGGGGTGGCCCGAGGCCTTACCGTATTACTACCAGCCCCAGAAGAAATCTTTTATTTTCTGTTCGTGGCTTGCTAGTTTTAGATCCACGCCGCTTTAGCTCCTGCTTTTGAAGTGAATGACCACCCAGTATCGTGGCATAACAGCCAGTGTCGGTGCAGGCTTTTCGGGGGCTTGGGATTGCAGATTCCGGGAACGGCTAAAAGAACCTGTGTCGTGGCTTGTTGGGGATAGGTTAGTGTTTTCCTATTGCGTTCAACAGCCAACTCATTTGACTCCGCAGCTCACGGATCAAGGTGGTATGGGGGCGTGATCCTGTTTTACAGCTGAGGAAATTGAGCTACCGAGAGATTAAGTGATTTGCTCAAGGTCATGGAGTAAATTGATCCAAAGAGGGATTATAAGAACCGTGGGACTCCGGACTCCACCGTTCAGGGCTCTCGTTTCCCACCCTCCCCGCCCCTCCCCCAAGTCAGCATGCCATAGTAAGGACACCACAGCCTAGTCCCACAGCCTCAGAGGTGTTCGCTCTGCGGCGAAGAGGAACCAGGTAAGGGGGTGGCCGGGTCGAGCGGCTTGTGGGAGGAAACAGTCCGGAGCCACGTGGGAATACTTCCTGGGTCTGGGAAGACTCTGGGTGAAAATTTTAAAACTGCTGCTTTTAAGGAATCCTTGCGTAAGGTGACCAGGCGATTTTTAACCGTTTGTCCCGCGTCCCGGGACAAATTGTTAGAAATCGGGACTGTGCCCCCAAAAGCAGGACGCCTGGTCACCTCACCGTACAGATGTCCATTTTAAGTGATTCCGGGCATGTTCCGCGGCAGAGGCCCTTCCTGCCTGTGGGCGTGTGAACGAACCGAGAATCTGCCAGGAAACACCTGCTGTGCACCCGGCCCTCACCCGGTCCCTGCCCACACGCAAAACACCTGGAAGGAGTGGGCACGGTCTCTGGGGACTTGGTGCCGTGCAGGCTTTGCTAAAGTCCTTTGCCTTTCCTGGTCGGAGGGTGGCCCCAGATCCCACAGGGTCCCTCTGCCACATTTCTAATTTTTAAAAAAATATATTTTATTGACTTTTTTTTTTTTTTTTTTAACAGAGAGGAAGAGAGAGGGATAGAGAAGAGAGTTAGAAACATCGATGAGAGAGAATTATCGACCAGCTGCCTCTTGCATACCCCCTACTGGGGATGTGCCCACAACCAAAGTACATGCCCTTGACCAGAATTGAACCTGGGACCTTTCAGTCGGCAGGCCGACGCTCTATACTAGGGGTGTCGAACTCAATCAGAGAAGGGGCCAAAATCTAAAATCCAGCCTAAATTGCGGGCCGAATGGTTTACTGAACAGTCATAAACTGTCATTGTGATGGAAACGCAGCGGAGTGCAGTGATGACAGCGCGGTGCGGGCCACATTGCAAGGCCTGGCGGGACGGATTTGGCCCGAGGGCCTTGTGTTTGACACATGTGCTCTATACACTGAGCCAAACCGGTTTCGGCTCTAATTTGTGTTTTGAAGCTATAAGTACAAGTCAAAAAGAAATGAAACCAATCCATATTCATCGTGCCTTTTACAAAATTCAGAATGCCATTGCCCAGTGGTTCGATTTCCTACCACACAATGGATTGGGAATAACAAAGTAGATGGGAGTGGGTGTGAGGTGTCTGCCTGCACTAGGAGCAGCCCCTCGAGAGCTGAGAAGGGACAGTGGACAGTGGACAGTAGCTCTCAGGTGGCAGAGTTGTAGACAGTTCCTTCCTGAGCAGCCTGCAGCTTTTTTTTTTTTAATTTTAAAATATTTTATTGATATTTTACAGAGAGGAAGGGAGAAGGATAGAGAGCTAGAAACATCGATAAGAGAAAAGCATCAGCCAGCTGCCTCCTGCAACCCCCCATCTCCACCCCACCGGGGATGCGCCCGCAACCAAGGTACATACCCTTGACCGGAATCGAACCTGGGACCCCTTCAGTCCGAAGACCGAAGCTCTATCCACTGAGCCAAACCGGTTTCCGCAGCCTGCAGCTTTTACGCCTGAGGTCCCGGAACAATACAGAACTCTCCACGCTGGGTGTGACCCACGTAACTGAGCCATGACATTTCATCCAACACGAAATGATTTTGGCACCAAAGACACAGAATTAGCTTATCAGGAACCCAGTCATTGTAGAAGTTCGTAGTCCCTAACAATGCTTATTCCAGAGTTCTAGGGCTGTGGTGGGCAAACTCATTAGTCAACAGAGCGGCACACCGCGGCTGGAGAGCCGCAATTTGCCGACCACTGCTCCTAGGGCACGCCCATAACTTCCTGTGCCCTGGCTTCCTCCTTTTCCTAATAGGGATCCTGACAGTACCTACCTCACAGGATTGCTTTGAGGATTAAATGAGTTATGTCTGGCCCAATATTTGTTTGCCCTTGTTATAAATGGAGCCATATGGGGTTTACTCAACTAATGGGGATGGCCCTGTTTTTAGAGTTTGAAATAAATGAGAGTAAATGGGGGTGGGGGGGGAGAATTTTGGGGGAACTCAAGATGCCTTGCAGCTAAGGCAGTCTTTAGGTCTATTGGGAACCACGTGGAGCCTGGAGAAAAGGAAGTGAACAGTGACTGACTGCTGTGGACTAATAGAATCAGCACTATGGGAAATTTGGAAAATGGAGGAGGAAAGTCAAAACTAAACACAGATTTCTGAAATGGGGCAGAAGTCCTCACCTATGCTCCATGATGTTCCAGTTTCTTTTCTGCCTGCATTACCTGTTACGGTCTCCAAAACTGACTCCAGCTGTAGTCACTGAGGCAGCTGTAGATGGAAAGCACTAAACCTTCATCT